ATGTAATATTTGATAAACAGGGGGCATGGAACTTTGAACAAAATTCCTCATAAACAAAGAAATATGTTGTAGAAGATGAAGAAGAAGTGATGCCCAATGACCATAAGTATGATACAATTATACATCAAATGCAAGGCCAACAAATTCAAAAAGATCAAGCCTAACAAGTTTCAATCTAAGAATGAATCCCTCAAGTTCAAGAAACCAAGATCCATAGCAAGTAAGTCTAAGTGATGTAGATTCGGATACTCCACCAAGAAAGGCATGTTCACTTCAAGAAATCTTTGATTCTTGTGATGTTGCATTTCTTGCACTAAAACCACAAAAGTTTGAAGAAACTTCAAAAGAAAAAGTTTAGGTGAAAACTATGGATGAAGAAATTGAAATGATAGAAAAGAACAAGCATGGGAGTTGTTTAATAAATCCAAAGAAAAAGAAGTAATTGAGCTGAAATGGGTTTACAAAACAAAGTTCAATGAAGATGGTTCAATCCGAAAGCACAAAGCAAAGCTAGTGGCTAAAGGCTATACCCAAGATCCAGGGTTAGATTTCCATGAGACTTTTGCACCAGTTGCAAGAATGGAAACAATTAAAACTATGCTTGCACTTGCTGCTCAACTGAAACTGCAAGTGTTTCAATTTGTTGTGAAATCAACCTTCCTAAATGGAGATTTAGAAGAATAAGTATATGTTGAACAACCACAAGGATATGTGATAGAAGGAAATGAAGACAAGTTTTACAAGTTTCGAAAAACTTTGTATGGATTAAAGCAAGCACCTCGGGCATGTAATAGCATGATTGATAAATCTTTTCGTAAGAATGGATTTGAAAAAGTCCAAATGAGCCATCACTCTATGTTAAGAAGGAAGGTATACATGATTTTATTCTTGTTTTTCTTTATGTTGATGATTTGATTTATATAGGTAACAACCCATATTATTGAATGAATTCAATAAGGCCAGATATTATTGAATGAGTTCAATAATGTCCAAGTAAGCCTTATTGGTTCCTTGATTTATCTCACAAACACAAGGCCAGATATTGTTCTTGTTGCAAGTATTGTTTCAAGTTGGTTGGATTTTCAGACAGTGATTGGGCTGGTTCCGTAGATGACCAAACAAAGACAACTGGATATGTTTTTTCTTTGGGAAGTAAAATGATCTCTTGGTCATCCAAAAAGCAAAATACTATGGCACTTTCTTCAGTAAAAGCATAACACATTTCAACCAATAGTGCATCTTGTGAAACAATTTGACTTAGAAGACTTTTGAAAGACCTTCAATTTGTGCAAGATGGCCCAACTACAATCTATCGTGACAACATTTCAGCCATTGCAATGACAAAAAATTCAGTTTTACATGGAAGAACAAAGCATACTGAGATGATACGCCACTTCATCAGAGAGTCAACTGATAAAGGAGGGATTGAATTGAAGTTCATCAAGACTAAAGATCAACTTATTGATATCTTCACCAAGCCCCTAACTTCTGAAAAATTTCTGCGTTTTAGATCTTTATGGAAAATTACAAATTAAGAGGGGTGTTGAAAAGTAAGAGTAGTGATTTTGTAATTTTCCTTTATATTTTGTCTTTTGTATTAAGTGGGTTGCCCTGGGACTTGAGAGCTGAAAGTTTTAGACTTTAAAAATAAAACTCCTTTTTATATATTGTATCATTTTGTACGAGAGAATAAGAAACTAAGAACAAAGTAAAACCCATAACCATAAGTTGGCTTTTCATCTTCTTCTCTTCATTCTATATCCTTTTCCTCTTCTATAGATTTTTTTGTTCTTCCTTTGATTTTTACCACCACACTTTCGTTGCTCCAACAAAGTTAAAGAAGAAAGTCCAAAAAGAGTAGATTGAATCTAATGATTTAGGTGATGTTTGGCATCAATGATGGTTTCTTGAAAATCATTGCCATGTTGAAGCCAACATGGCATCGATCGAATCTAATGATTCAGGGATTACCTTTTTTTTTGGTGATTTGTTGAATCTTAGCTGATCCCGATTTTTTGATTATGACATGGAATCCAACATGGCATTGAATGATAACTCTAATACAAAAATAACCGGCCATTGAGAATCAATAGCAAATAAACTCATAGATGATTTCTCAAAAATTGGCTTACATGGCAGAAATGGTACCAAATGATGTTTGGCATCGATGGTGATTTCTCAAGAATATTCACCACATATGATCCACATCAGAATTTGAAGAATCAGTGATTTTTTTCTTGTTGGATTGACTGATTATGTCGATTTCTGGGAAATCAGCCAAAAATTTATTATTGACATCAGCCCTTTTCAGGGATCACCTTTTCTAGTGATTTCTTGATTTTTAACTAATTTCATTTTTTTGAGGATGACATGGAATCCAACATGGCATTGAATAATAACTCTAACACAAAAATAATCGGTCCTTGAAAATCAGTACCAGACAAACTCAAAGCCGATTTGTAAAAATCAGATTATGTGGCATAAATGATACCAAACAACAATTTTTTATGATTTTTCAAAAACCATTGATTCCAGAAATCATCAATTTTTGGATAATCAACAAAGAGAAATCATCATCGGTGCCAAACATCACTAAAATTTACCATTTATTGAAGAAACATTGATTTCAAAAATCACCAACTTTTGAAAAATCTGTAAAGATAAATCAGCATCGATGCCAAACATCACCTTAGATAGGAAAGCAGACTGAATTGGTGAGTGCTCTGTCTGAACATGTGTACATTTCTGTAGCCTTTAAATTAGTATATATAGGCGTGTATAATTCTTCTCTAAACCCTAGTAGTATCCTAGTCAAATTAGGAAAGGTGAGATCTTATAGAATTTTCCGAATTCAGGTATGCCATTGATTAGTCAAACCAGTCTTTATTTTAGTAACTAGGAAACTTCTAAAGTTCGGTGCAAAGTCCTAATTTATCAAAGAGGTGAGAGAGTATTCATATATGGGTGGAGCCACAAACCTTAGTTTGAACTAATAAATAGATCCCTCCCGAACCAGACCGGATGATCGGACAATTAGACCTGGGAACTGGAGATCATTCTGGTTCTTTAGAACCCTGGATTTCAAATTTCTGAAAAACTGGTAGAATCGATCAAAACCCAACAGAACTCTTAAAAACCAGCTAAGTTTTGACGATTCAACCGGATTTAATAACTTGACCGGATTGGTAAATGCTTAGCAACTTAAAACGTAGGTCCCAAGATTTGAGCTCACAAACTTAGCTGGCGATTCAGATTCATTGCTGGGAGTTAAAAGCAGATCTAGACAATGGAAGGGTATGATAATAGAACTTTGACCATCTAATTATTTGTTTTCATTTTAGCCAATTTATGGCATATGGGAGGGTATGATAATAGAACTTTGACCAATCATATCCAAGGCTCAAAGAATTGCAATATATCTGTGCGTACTGATAAAAATTGATTTCCAAATTCACCGAAAGGGAAAATTTCTGAACAGCACCCTAAACTTTGGGGGTTGTGTCAAGTCAGTCTTCAAATTTTAAAACGTTTCTCAACAGTACCCTAAACTTTTAAATTGTGTCTAATAGGTCCTACCATTAGTTGACCATTAATCAACACCGTCACGTGACATCACATGTCTGGTTTCATAATCCTTCTTTCCCTTTCATTCTTTTAAACTCAGACGAAATGGGTAAAATGTTCATAAAAATATCATAAAGGGTAACTTTACTGTTTTGAAATTATTTAATACATACTTGATGTCATGTCACGTGATGCTATTGGCTGACGACCAACTAACAGTAGGGACCTGTTAGACACAATTTGAAAGTTCAGGGTATTGCAAAGGCACGTTTTGAAGTTTAGGGACTGACTTGACACAACCCCCAAAGTTTAGGGTACTATTCGGGAATTTTCTCTAAATAAAATGACCAAGGACAAATGGACATATTCAATGAAAATTACCCTTCCTAGAAATGGCTCCAATACATATTGGCTTTGGGGATCACTAATGCGATAAATACAAGTAGGCTACATTTTGCAATGCAAATACAAATATGTTCTATATTTTTGCTTAATGGGGCTACACAAATGGGGTAACCTATCCCTCATCCCCTTAACCCCCAATCCTGGTGGCAGCGGAATTTGATCCGACTGCTACAATGAGTCAGATCCTACCAACTGTGCCACTTTCAATTGGTGCAAACACAAATATGCTCAGTACAAATACAAATGTGCTGGTTCATGAAAATGCATAGCTCAATTTTACATTGACAGATTTTATATTCCTACCAAAAGGTTTTTGGTTGTGAAAATACAAACACCAATTTTAATATTGGAATCCTTCCTTTTTAACATTAACCAGCTTTGTATATGCCTTATAAGTTGTGATAGTTGTCATTTCCATTACACAAATGTTCTCTTAACAAATGTTGCAAAACTGGACTAGCACTAGAGTGCATGTATATACAACCTCGCATCTGCACTACAAACAAACGTAACTTTGGCTTAATTTGGAAGGAGTACAATGCAAATATGTAGAGTACAAAATCTTATATTTTGTACATATTTGCATTTGTACTTTTTCCAAACTGAGCCTTTAGGCTATATTTGGAAGAAGTACAAATACAAATATGTAGAGTACAAAGTCTTACATTTTGCATTGTTTTGTATGTATTTGTATTGTACATATTTGAATTTGTACTCCCTCCAAACTAAGCCTAAAGCTCAGTTTGGAAAGAGTACAAATATGTTCTATTAAAATGCAAATGCCCAAGTTGGGACATTACGTAATAGATATAGAGGTGGTGTGATAATGTCAAAAATATTTCATAAAATCAAGCACGAGGGTCCCTCGGGGAAACGAAGACCAGGCTGTTTTTCAAGTTACAGATTAACCAATGGATGGGCTAAACATTTATGCGATTACTGGTTTCCAAATTCAAAAACCTGAAATGATGCAATGATATATTAATATAACTTGAAGGTGAACAGAACTACCGGAAATCCATCAATCCAACTGAAATAATGTTGTACGCATGATTTATGATTTACGATTAGTCAAAGCTACAAATTGGTAAATGAGTAACAATTGCAAGGATCTCCAAATGCTAAAGATAAGAGAGATTTTATCCATTAACCATTCTATTGAACTAGTTGCAACTTGGTCATCACAATCATCTAGGCCTTGACACGGCCAATATGAGGTCTGCTACATGAATCCCATTCCAACATTCTGTTATGTTAAGTGCAACTAGTTGCAAGACGATATGGATAAAAAAAATGAACTGCCATGATTTAATAAATACTTGTGTATACTGGAAGTCCAGAACAGATGATTTAACAGTTGCAGAACCTCAAGACTTCTGATACTTTCATCCACAACGTAACATTCATCAGTCTCTCCTGATGCATCTCTGCAATGACAGGTCAGTCAAATATTGACAAAGTGAATAGTCGTCTACCTATGAAAAAGTGCATGTTACAGACATAAGATTCAAAATGACATGCCTACAAGTGTGGCAAGGATTTGCATATGTAACTTGGTTATGCATCAGTGATGAGCAGATGTTGAGTGTAACAAGCATTTCCGGAGTTATATTCATACTACAAAAAGAGATTCTACCATTTTTCTTGGCAAATTTGGCTGTAGTTAGACAACAGTGAAATGGCAGAGAAGAGTTTGTGTATCAAAAATAAAATAATCAGAATGAGGCTTAGGGGCCATTTGATAACACAGCTGAATTGGCTAAACTAAATGGCATTGCTTTGTCACTTTTGTGAATAAGTTATTAAGGAGATTGTGAGATCATAACGGCTGAAGCTGAAGTTTGGTTAATATATAGAATGTTTTATTATTAGATATTTTATCCAGTTTAAGACAAAGAAATAAGTCATTCACTTGAGACACTATCAAGCATCTCCTTAATTGAATTGAGGGTTATAATAGACATCATTTCACATTCCTGTATCAATTACATGTTATTGTTGACAATTTTAGTCATATCCGCTGTCTTTGGAATGGTTCCCAAATAGAATAGTTGGATGGAAGGATTCTGAAACTTGTTCTTTTCCAGTACTTTGCTGTTAGGCTCCAAAAGTAGAGCCTTGTGGAATCTGGATAAAGCAGATTTCATTTACATGTTTTCAACCCATTTGGTGGATTCTGGAATAATTATTCATTAGAGAGTTGGTCATTTTCAAATCCACTGATTGGGTGTTTCCATCTGTATTCACCCCCACTCACACTTTCCAGCCCTGTCAAATGCATTCTAGAGCTGTCTCACCTTCAGATGTCATTTTAATATTACAAACTCAAATGAACCAAATAATTCAAAAACACATCTAAAATTTAAAAAACATGGCAACATGTACATTTTCCATGTTTTAACTACAGGATGTACTCTAACAACATTACATGGAAATCATACAAGCATCAGAAAAGAATAAGATTATTGATACAGAGGGATGATGCTAACTAAGAGTTGGATTCCATATATAAGATGCACAGGTTAAATATCACAATCATAACTATGACTCAGTGCACCACCACCATACACATGCTGACCACTGACCAGATCTTTACAATGAATATTTGTGAGGATGCATCAGATTAGTTTGACTAAACTTAGCATATAAGATGCTGACAAATATTTGTGAGGATGCATTGGGAAAATGATTCTATCATGCTCAAACTTCAAATTTCCAGCTTAAGTTACAACCTTACCTATGAAAGATAGACCACTAAATACACTACCGCTTATGCCTTGCTTCATGGATGTGAAACATAAGCTGCAAAAGAAACAATGCCAAACAGTAATGGTGTAACTAAAGTTATCAGGTACAATGAGGTCAGTTTAGTTCTGACATGATGGGAAGCTATTTACCTTGGTTCCAACATAAAATGTAATAAACATGCCACCAAGAACAGGCCATCCTGAAAGTTTGAAACATGATATGAACCTGGCTATCACTAGGTATTTCTCAAAAAGAGAGTTATAGGTTTCACATACCATCCTTCTGAAGGAATCGAGAAACTAACCAATTGATGCCTGATGGTCCAATAACATAACCAACAAGGTTGGCAACCTGTTTAATGCACTGCTTAGTAATTAAAGTATAAACTGATTTAAGTAATATCCAACATTAATGAACAGTTGAAATATTGATACATGTGATAATTTCTGTGCCATCTTCTATGAATGAATATTTGGGATGAGATGCAAGATTGCGCTTCATATTTAGTTTAATTGGGCTCTTTCCCAGTGAGCTCACCCTATTGTTTAAATTAACAAAATTTTATTAAAAGAAAATGAAAAAGAAATAAAGAATAAAATGTGTTGGGGCCTTGGTATAACACATCATGTAGAAGAAGGTTACCCAAAACAAAGATGCAAGTTCTTATGTAAAAACATCCACAAATTCCAATTCAACTACATCCCAAAATTCCCTCCCTAATGAATTCCCAACCATGTTATGAATTTTAAGGACCAAAATCCAATGTGAGATGCTACATCTACAATCATCAATCAGATGTCCAAAAGGCCTTGCCTTCAAAAATACTTCGGTTTTCTAAGGAGATTTGGTGGTATTCTGAGGAACATGAAAGGCATAAAATAGAGATAATCGTCTAATCGATCAACTAGCTTAATGATTCCTTTTCTTGAAATAGATGCTTAAGTACCCATCTGCTTTTCTATCTTTGTCACTACTGGAACATTACTGGTGAGAATGAAAGAAAGATAACTTACTGTTCATGTGGTCAGATGCACCGAAATCAATGATCCAAGATTGACTAGATAGGATGAGGATTTGAGGAATTGCACCCACTAACTATAATGTCCACTCTAAAGGGGCAAGTAGGGCTTAGGTCCATTTCTTCTATGAGAAACCAAGTACAGGTACCTTTACTGATTAACTAATCTCTAGACACTAGAACAGATCAAAAATAGATTCTAATTCCTCGTGGATGTATCTTGAATTGGGATCTCTTGGATCAACTTTGTTCAAGTTATGCTGAATTGGATAAAGAAGAATGCTAAAAATACTCTCATGAATAGGACTGTACTCGTAGTCGTACCATAGACTTTAAACATGTTGATATTGATATTTTTTGTGTCTTTTCACAAGGGGATGATTTTGTAATTAAACCACCTTATATGAGCACATGTAACAGCAATAATTAGAGAAGACATCTATCTCTTTGCCGTTAGAGCAGCTGATTTTGTTGGGTAGCTGCCCAACTCAGATCTTCTTCGAGGGAGGATAATCTCCAGAATAGGGGAAAGCGAGAGTGAAGAGATAGATCAAATCTTCTTATTATTCCCTTATTGTAAGTACACCTCTGTATTCAATCTTGCCTTCAATGTAACTGATTAACAACAGAATTATAACAACTTGTCAACTTGTTTGATTCAGGTAACTCCAACTTGATACAGTTAACTCCAGCTGTCTTTGCATTGACATCCTTATGCTGAGGTGGCCTTAACTGATTTATAACGGAATTATAACAACTGCCAACTTGTTTGATTTAGTTAACTCCAAGTTGATTCAGTTAACTCCAGCTGTCTTTGCACTGGCTTCCTTAAGTTGAGGTGACCTTCTTCTCCTTCTAGAATATACTTGTAGTTCCTGCCCCCTTTGTGCCTCTAACATCTCCCCCCTCCTCAACCTGGCACTCGTCCTCGAGGCCAAGGTGTGGAAAGTGTTGCATCAGCTCGGTGCAGGGCTCCCATGTGGTTTCTTAAATTGGTACCCCTTCCCAGCAGACTAATGCCTCTTTAATAAAAGCTTGACCTTGTTTCACCCATCTATATTTCAAGATGTCCTTGGGTCGTAGCTGTAGCCACCCTTCTTCTGTGAATTCCAGTAATGTTGAACATGTGGTTTGTGGATTGACAGCTTTCTTGAGGATGGAGACATGGAAAACTGGGTGTACTTTGGAGTCTACTGGTAGTTCCAGCTCGTAGGCTAGTGATCCTATGCGCTATAGAATTTGAATGGTCCATAGAACCTAGGGGCAAGCTTGTTGTAGGGGCGGGAGGCCATTGAGATCTGTCTATATGGTTTGAGTTTTAGGTAGACAAACTCACCTTTCTGGAACTCAACAGGCCTCTGTTTTGCATCATAATCGCGCTTCATCAGTTCTTGAGCATGTGTCAAGTGAGCCTTCAGTTCATGGATGATTTCATCTCGGGATGAAAGACACTCATCAACCACTACATTAGCTGAAGACCCCTTTTTCATAGGGTAGAACTGATGGTGGGTCTCTGCCGTATAATGCTTTAAGTGGTGTCATACCTGCTGAGACATGGAATGAGGTATTGTACCAAAACTAGGCAACCATTGTATCCACTGTTTAGGTCTGTCCCCCACAAAGCATCGTAAATATGTGTTGATGCATCTATTGACAACTTCGGTCTGCCCATCCGTCTGAGGATGATAGCTAGTAGAGGTGTTGTGTGAAGTGCCTTGTAACTTGAAATATTCTCTCCAAAAACTGCTGAGGAAGGTTGGGTCTCTGTCGGAGACGATTGCCTTTGGTGTTCCATGTAATCTGGTGATTTCTCTAACAAATGCTTCTGCCACCGTATGCTGTGTAAGGGTGTGTTAGAGGTACAAAGTGGCTGCACTTTGATAGCTGGTCAACCACCACAAGTAGGACTGATTTGCCTTTTGAAAGAGTCATAGTAATTCTGCCACCGTATGACCCCCTATAGCTGAATCATGAAAGAGTCATAGTAATTCTGCTATGTGGGCTGACTTGGATGAGATAACCAATCAACCCTTGTAATAGTGTAACCTGGGGTCAAGGCTGGATTCTGGGCCCATTTGGCCCTTAATTGGGCTAGTTCTGTATCTTGAAAGGCTTCAGCTTTGAGATGCTTGATTAATGGATAACTGGGCCTGGAGACAGTGAGTTGTGCCAACTCAGGTAGCTTGGATAGAGCATCAGCTGCTCGACTAGTTGTACCAGGTTTATATTCTATAATGTAGTCATGTAGTCATTGCCCATGAGTTTGTGGGCCCACTGCTGTTGTTCAGGTGTGTGGAATTTCTGATCAAGCAGGAATTTCAAACTCTTATGGTCTGTCTTGATGACAAATCGGCGGCCCAATAGGTAAGCCTGCCACTTTTGGACTGCAAGTACAACGGCCATGAGCTCCTTGTCATATGTTGATTTAGCTTGATTTTGTGGTGAGAGTACTTTGCTAAAATAGGCCAATGGTTTCTCCTCTTGCATTAAACACAACTCCTAGACCTGTCCCAGAAGCGTCACACTCAAGTGTGAACTGCTTTGAGAAGTTGGGTAATGACAGAATTGGTGGTGTGGAAATTGCTTGCTTTAGGTTAGTGAAGGCTTGCTGGGCTTGCAGACTCCATTGAAATGCATTTTTCCTTAATAATTGGGTGAGTGGCGCTATTAGCCTTGCACAATGTGGTATGAAGCGCCTTTCATAACCTATGATGCCTAGAAAAGTCCACAAGGCCTTGACTGATGTAGGCATTGTCCATTGTTGAATGCAAGCAACTTTCTCCGGATCAGCCATGACCTTCCCTTCTTTGACCACATGGCCTAAGTATTGGACTTGTTTTTTGTCCAAAAACACATTTAGAAGCCTTCACATATAGTCGATGTTTTCTTAGAAGTTCCAAAGTGATAGATAAATGTTGTAGATGAGAAGCCCAATCAACACTATATACCAAGATATCATCAAAGAAGACTAGAATATAGCGGTGCAAGTGGGGACAGAATACTTCATTCATGATGGCTTGAAAGGTTGCCGGTGCATTTGTCAATCCGCAAGGCATGAGAAGAAACTCATGGTGGCCATTGTGTACGGAAGGCTGTTTTAGGTACATCTGCTGGATGCATCCGAATTTGATGGTAGCCGACTCGTAGATCAAGCTTAGAAAATATGATAGCATCATGTAAATCATCCAATAGCTCGTCAATGATTGGAATGGGGAACCGGTCTTTTACGGTGATCTGATTTAGAGCCCGATAGTCTACACAACACCTCCATGTTCCATCTTTTTTCTTGACTAGAAGGACAGGTGCTGAATATGGGCTTGAACTGGGCAGTAATTTTTTCTCTAGTAATTCTTGAACAATTTTCTCCATCTCTTCCTTCTGAAATCTGGGGTAGCGATAAGGTCTAACATTTGACGGAGCTGCCCCGGGATGATCTCAATTCAATGGTCCATGGGTCTGGAAGGAGGTGGCTGATTGGGTTCTTAAAAGACATCTGAATAGGTGTTGAATAACTGCTGGAGTGCTTGTCAGTTTTCCAGTGGCGTGGCTGCTTCCTTTGGACTGGTTAAAACTGGGCTGGTATTCAATCCCATATGCAATAGGAGGGGTTGCCCTTCACTGCAACTAGTCTTGAAGATGGCTTAGTCCTTCCTGTTGTAGTGCACTCTTAGCCCCCCCCGTTCAGATGATACTTTTGTCCCTTAATGGAGAAATCCATTGTTAGTCTTGACCAATCACATACAACCGGTCCCAACTGTTCTAGCCACTACACACCTAATACTACATCTGCTCTGCTCATCTCTAATGGATGGAGGTCCACTAGAAATGAATGTTGCTGTAACTTCAGGTGGACCCCTCTGCATATGCTATCACAGCTGAGGTTGTTGCCATCTGCTACATGTACACTGTGTAGAGAACACTGATGTGGGCCCCACAGCTATGGTCCCACTGTGTTCATAGGGTAGAATGTGTTCTAGTCATCCTAGGGTTAGCTTGTGGTTAGTTGGTTATTTCAGTTGTTATTTATTTCAGTTTTATTTTGTTCTATTTGTTATGTAAATACTAAGGGCAGATCTGTCCTTTCCATGTA